ATAAGATTAGGAATGATGATATTCGGGAGAAGGTGGGTGTGGCTCCTATTGATGAAAAAATGCGGAAAGCGAGGCTCAGATGGTTCGGGCACGTACAGAGGAGAAGCCCAGATGCTCTGGTAAGGAGATGTGAGCAGCTAACTTTGGAGGGCACGAAAAGAGGTAGAGGGCGGCCTAAGAAGTATTGGGGAGAGGTGATCAGGCAAGACATGGCGAGGCTTCAGATTCCCGAGGACATGGCCCTTGATAGGAAGCTGTGGAGGTCAAGTATTAGGGTTGTAGGTTAGGAGGTAGTTGAATCTTTCCTTACTTCGTACCTTTGTGAGGCTAGTCTGGTAGGGTTTGTGTCTGAGACAGCTAGTGGCAATGTTGTGTCTTGCTACTCTTTCGTTTCTCATAGTGTCGGGTCTATTTATTGGCTATCGCTTTTGCTTTGCACCTATCTTCTTGTTTTCATGATATTGTTATTTTTCCTATGATTTCTGTTGGTGGTACTGATATTGTCTCTTTTCGTCTTCTTGAGCCGAGGGGCTTTCGGAAATAGCGTCTCTACTCCCTCGGGGTAGAGGTAAGATCTGCGTACACACTACCCTCCCCAGACCCCACTAGTGGGATTTTACTGGGTCGTCGTTGTTGTTGTTGTTGTTGTTGAAGTTCAACTAGGAAGGTGAAGAATTCCATACTGCTAGATACTTCAAACAATGACAGAAACATCTATAATTCATTTCCTAATATTTCTTGGAGGAATTTAATAGATTTTTACTAATCCGGGAAAAGAAAAGAAACACTAAAGCAAATTATGTGTGTTTTACAAAGACTAGCATTCTTTCAAAGAGTCTCAATCACTACCTTCAGAATGTACTGGTTATCTTTTCTGGGGTACTTTTGTATACAAAAGAGTGAGCTTCTAGAAGTAACATTCTTTCAAAATAAAAGAGACCACAAAAACCAAGAAAACTTAAACATACAGAAGTATCTGAAATTGGCATTTGAATTGAAAGAAACTGACTGTAAAAAGTTTGGCCAAAAATGAAGGAAATGACGCCTGATTCTGCTCAAAAGCAAGTATATTATTCAATAAATGGGAAGAAAAAGGTATTAAAATACCTTCAGTTTTTTGTTATTTTTTGTCTCTGTGTACATTTGAATCTCAATTGCATATACCTCCAACAATTGTGTCCCTTTCTTCTGATCATCAGTGCCATCTTCTTTCTTACAAGATTTGTGGAGCTCTTTCAGAATCTAACAAAGTTGTCAAGTTATGTTCATGAAAACCATAGCAAAATAAAAGCTACAGATACTAATCTGAGCAAGCAAGATACCTTGCTCATTCGTCCATATTCCCCCATGTCAAACCAAATCTGGCAAAGCTTTAGATTCGTCTTGAACCATAACCTCTGTGAAAGAAAGAGTGGGTCGTGAGACCTTAACGAAAGACACAAGAACTTCGAGAGAAACCTGCGAGCTGACTCCTATATGCCAAAAGAGGAATACACTCTGACCTCATTCTTAGCCTCTTCAAGGGCTTTCAGTGTTGTCTGGTAGAACTCCTGCAGAAAGCTGAAGTTCTGACTAGCTGATCCAGAAACAAAATCCATAATACTGTTTATACACTTCTCACTATAGTTCCGTGTCACAGCCGATTTTATGTAGGTCAGCATTTCTCGATAAGCATCCATCATTTCCTTGTACTTCCCTAGCTTATAGTAAAGCTTAACAGTTTGCTTTAAAGCTTTAAATCCCCTGGAAATGATGATAGTTGGTAACAATACAAAAGCAAGTTGTAGCTCTAAAATTCTTAAAAGCTTTAGGAAACCCATTAGTTAAAAGCATAAGGCATGAGACCTGGATAAGAGTCTTACACGAGTTGGATGGGTAAACAATAACCAGCCTTGTAGCATTACAAACATGAGCTATAAGTCTATAACTAGAAATTTTGGATAAGGGATATTAAGCAAATTTGCAATTCCAATTCAGAGAAGAGAACATAAAAAAGACTGCAGTTCAAAAATAAACTAAAGAGACTCCATCTTCATTAGTGATTTAAAATTTGGTGTGTCATATACACACAGAAATGAGAAAAAGAGTGGATAGAAGAAAGACAGGCTTGTGTGATAGGCACATGGCACGAGTTCGAATACTAGTTGGTGAACCAAGCTTGGCATTTAAGTGAAGAAAGGTAGAGGGCAAACCCATTATCGTACGAGCTTCAAACCTAAAATAGTGCATTTCTCGGTCAGTAAAAAAAATAAGAAGAAGAAATAGAGGCCTGCTATTTGAATCTGACCTCTTTTTTTAAAACTGAGGTAAGTGATTTTGACTTTCAGGTCATATTAATAGTTGCATGCTGCATAATCAATGAGTTTTTATCAATGCAGCGTTAGATACTTGGGAAAAACTAACTCAGATTTCAGCATCTCCATAATGCACATACTAATGATTGGCCGGGTTTCCCTCCACTTTACTTCACCAGTTTGCAGGTTAATAATAGAAAAGCAACTTTTATTAGAATGCACGTTCCTGATGCCATTTCCTATATATGTAATGGCACATAGGCATCATCACACACCATAATATAACTGATCTCACAAATATATGGTACGCTTGTTAATAATTTTATCTAGCCACCACCCAAGACAGCACGCTGAAAAGGTTACCAGCAATAACTGCAAAATTTAGACATTCAACTCCTTACCACTCTGCCTTCTCAGGTTCCATACGTACTACTTCAGCAAAACCCTCAAGTGCTCCTTCGGGATCAGTTTCGACCAAACCTATGCATGACATCATTGCAAAATATTACTTCAGTGCAGTGTTTAGTATAGTGAAACAGAAGTGGATCAATACAAACAGAAAGTATATCTCTAGGCAGCACTACCAAAAATTACAAGAGGATGCATAACAATACAATACAAAGGCAACACTGTTACCTGGTAGTTAGCATCACAAAAGGTACCTTACAACTGAATAAAACTAAAAGGCAGCATTTATCAAATTACCATTACATAAAGTTTGGTTTTGCAGTTACTCAATCTTTATATTGGCTGACTTATCCAAATAAGCAGTGTGATTGTTAGCCAATAGTTAAGAAGCAAATGATACATGCACGCCTTTCACACTAGCAACCATAGCAAGGGCCTAACCACTACAAACATAGTTCAACAGGAAAAATGGAAATCTCATATTCTGGCCCAGGAGATTGAGCTCTTTTAAAAGTTTTTGATGCGCTCTCCAGCTATTCCAGAACATATGTTCTATGACCAACAGAAACACGCTATCTTCCAATACAGTATTGTAAGTAATGGTTTAATCAAAGTAATATGTATTATAGTCAAGATATTTGTAAAACAAAAACATTCTCCTTAGATAGAACATTTTCCAATATAAGGTAACCAAATAATGAAAAATTTCATGGAGGAAAATATTTTCCTAACATTTTTACTTTTGTTTTTCTAAAAATGGTAATAAGTCTAACACATTTACGTTAGGTCTTATACTCTCTAGGAGCGGTTTAACCTTTCAAAGATTTATACGATTAGAAAATATTCAAAACTTCGAATACTTGCTTTTTATTTGTATTTGCATATTGGCATGAGATAGAGTTTAAATGGCGTAAACTGGGACAATGAGGATTCATATAGCCGAACCCAACTTGTTTGAAACTGAGGCGTAGTTGTTGTAAAGACAACCCCGAGCATAACCCAGAACGCAGAATAATACAGCGAAAATCACGAGAATAATCAAATTTATCATCGTACTTACAGCATTGAACACTCAAATAAAATCTGCAGAAAAATTCTCAATTTTGTTTGGTTATTAACTACATTTATTACCAGGGAAAAAGAATATGTACTGTACAATACAAAGAATCCCTAAAGCTTTAAACTGGACAAAAAATTCTCAAAATTAAAGTTGAAAACCTTTGGAATTGTAGCATTGATTCTCGATATCAACATCTTGCTCTTCCTGCTCCTCGTCCGAGTACTCGAATCCGTAATCCTCCATATCCGCATCTGCGACATACATATATATTCACAAATATCGGATCAAATTTATATATGATACAGAAAATTAACGGGAAAATTATTGAATTTGATGTGATTTTGAGTATTACCAGAACCCATGGCTGATTTCAGCTGACAGAAGACAATTGAAACAAAGGAAAATTGAGAGTTTGAACTGTGAAGTAAGCGAATTGTGCGTCCGTGTTTTTGAGTTCCGAAAGTCAGTACTGGAAAATAAAAAATAAAGTTCCGTACTGAAGGGTTTGTTCGATTCGGGCCCGAGTTCTAACTTCTAAGAGAATCCCATTACATCAAATTCAAATATGTGACTTGCATATGTTTATATTTATTAATTGATCAATAGTTTAACGATATGTATTCTCACTTAACTTTTATCTATTAGGCGCCCGGACATAAAAATTATAATTTTTTAAATAAAATAATATTTAGAGTTAATTTGAAAAATAGTATTTGAAATTTAAAATAATATTTAGACATATATTTCACTTGAAAAAATATTACAATTTAGTGAGTGAGGGAATTTTTTTTTGAAAAAGTGGTCAAAATCACTTTTTGGTTTTTGAAAAACTCATTTTCAAAAAATTTCCAATAACTTGCACAATATTACGGATAAATACATTTTTGAAAAAAGGAAACTTTTTTATGGACAATATAAAGTATTTACCTTGACAAGGTGGGTTACTGTGATGGTAAGCACACTCCACTTCCAACCAAGAGGTTGTGAGTTCGAGTCATCCCAAGAGCAAGGTGTGTAGTTCTTGGAGGGAAGGATGCCGAGGGTCTATTGGAAACAGCCTCTCTACCTCAGAGTAAGGGTAAGGTCTGCGTACACACTACCCTCCCCACACCCCACTAGTAGGATTATACTGGGTTGTTGTTGTTGTTGTTGTTGTTGTACCTTAGCACTGCGTGGGACAAAAGAATGAATTGATAAAAGAAGTTTCAAATGAGGAAAATTTGAATGCTATTAAGGATATGCCCCATGATAAGGCTCCAGGGGTGGACGGATTTCCCAATGAATTTTTTACTAAGCACTGGGAGGTTGGCAATGATATTTGTGATGCCACTAGACAATTCTTCACAACTGGAGAAATGCACAGAGGAATCAATGGTACTGCTGTGACTTTAATTCCTAAAGTGCAAAACCCAAGCCATGTCAAAGATTATAGGCCCATTGCATGTTGCACAACTTTGTATAAGATAATCACCAACGTTCTTACTGCTAGAACTAAAAAGGTCATTGGTGGACTCATTGGTGAATCACAATCTGCATTCATTGAAGGTAGAAGCATCACTCACAACATCCTATTCACACATAGAACTGTTCAAAGGCTATAACAGGAAAGGAATTTCCCCAAGATGTGTACTGAAGGTGGATCTGAGGAAAGCATATGATACTCTGGATTGGTTTTTTTTGGAGAGAATGCTGATAGAGCTTGGTTTTCCTCATAAATTTATCAGTTGGATAATGGAATGCATTACAACACCGGCTTACTCTCTTACCATGAATGGTGGATTGACAACACCTTTCAAAGGAAGGAGGGGAATCAGGCAAGGAGACCCTATGTCTCTCTATCTATTTGTCCTGGCAATGGAGTATCTATAGAGGGAGTTTGCACAGTTTGCAAAGAACAAAGACCTTAAATTTCATCCTAGAGCAAAAAGCTAGGAGTGGTACATATTTGATTTGCATATGACCTTCTTATGTTTTGTAAGGCTGAAATAAGCTCTATTAGATTATTGCAGCATACCTTTCTAAAGTTCTCTAATGCCTCTGGCCTTCAAGAAAATGCAGACAAGAGCTCTATTTACTTGGCTATTATTTCAAACAATCTGAAACAGGATATCCTACAAGAACTGGGCTACTCTGAAGGCACTCTACCCTTCAGATATTTTGGTGTTCCCTTGGCATCTAAAAAGCTATCAGTCATTCAGTGTTGGCCATTAGTAGAGAAGATCACACGGAGGATTAACTGTTGGACTGCCAAATTACTCTCATATGCAGTCGACTACAGTTAATATAGTCAGTTCTATTTGGAATTCAATCTTACTAGGCACAAGTTTTTCTATTACCTAAAAAGTGATGAAGATAGTTGAGGCTATATGTAGGTAATTCTTATGGACATGAACATCTATTGTCTCTAAAAAGGCACTGGTTGCATGGGAGAAAGTATGTTTACCACAAGCTGCAGGGGAGGCTAAATGTGATGAACATGATCTACTGGAATAAGGTAGTTGTGGCAAAACATCTGTGGGCGGTGGCAAAGAAGAAAGATTGCTTATGGATCAGGTGGATTCATACCTTCTATATAAAGCACCACATATTGGAAAATATTCCAATACCTGAGAATGTAGCTTGGATAGTTAGGAAAATTCTGAAGACAAGAAGATTCATTGGAGAACTTCAAGGTATTCAGGGAGATCTCAATAGCAGACTATGCCAATTACAACAGGGAGAAGTCTTTAGCATCAAAAAGCTTTATCGTCTGCAATTCCCTCAGTTACAACGGGTGCCTTGAAAAGGTATTATTTTGCAACCAAATCTACATCCCAGATTCAAATTCATATTGTGGTTAGCACTATAGAGAAGATTGGCTACAGTTGACAGGCTTCTGAAGATTGGTATTCAAGTTCCTCAGCAATGTGTCTTCTGTAAGCAAGTTGATGAATTGTTTGACCACTTATTCTTTGAATGCATTATAACCAAGGCAATAGTGACAGTTGATAGCATATGCAGAGAAATCGCAATACATATACACACTAGAGGAAGATCAATACAGAAATGGCAAGGAGCACTTAATCAGCTGAATTGTTATCCTTAGGCTACAATGTAGTATGTGCTGATCTTTTTAGGATCTTAGTCGGAGTATCTACATACTTAGACTACAGGAATTGATGTAATTAGAATTGTGGATGGTCAGCATCTACTTGCTTTGTAAAGATACTTTTGGAATGAATAGAAACCACTATTTACCAAAAAAAAAATATTTACTTACTAAATAATATATATTCTTACTTTAATTAAAATTTGTTATTAATTAATTTATTATTAATACTAATTACGAGTAAGTATTTTTCAAGATTACAGATTGATATTGTTTGTTTTTCAAAATGAATAACAGCATTCGAAGTGCAAAAGCGAAATTATCTACGTTTCACACTATAAAATCCAATATCAATCTTTCTAATCATTTCAAAAATGTTGAGAGGTAATACAGATTTCCCACAAAATTTGAATGTGTAACTAAAAACTCAATTATAGTTTAAGGGGGATTTTTATATCCCATGAAAAATCACAATCGTGTTCCTCAATGGTGGATTCTTGACTTGAACTATTCAGCATGTTCTACTGTATACCTTCCATCTCCGTACCCTAAAACTCAAAAGTTATTACAAAAAAGTTACATTTGCTCGAAGATTAAAAATATTTACACACAGATCACTAATTAGAAAATTGCAAGTATGATATACTTTAATTGATGAGCTGGAAAAATATAGATAACTAAGAAATTAAAACCTACTATCACATGTTACACTACATTGATCGTTTAAAAAGTCTTTATACCCATGAGTATATATAATTCATAACGAACTAAATTGTTGCATATTTCACAATTATCTTCTAAACTTCTATTCCAGGATAATGTTACAATAACCACCTTTTATAAAGCTCTTCTTATTCATTTGAAAACAAATAACATTTAAATTAATTACAACTATTTATGCTTGTCTTTCGCGAACATTTTCCCTGTCAAACCACAAGTGAGAGCTTCATTAGGTATATTCTTGACAAGATGAACATCTTCAGCAAAGACAACTCCCATGCCTATATGCAAATGAGGTTCAATATGACAATGAAAAGCCCAAACCCCTGGATTATTTGCCACAAATCTTAGTGCAGTCCATCCATAGGGAAAAACAACAATTGTGTTCTTCAACGGAGGATTATTCAAATTGAATGTCGTCTCAGCATCTTCTGTTGTAAAATCTCCGTCTCCATACCCTAAAACCCAAAAATTATGTCCATGCAAATGCCAAGGGTGAATTTCACTGACGTTTTCGGCTAAGGCATTGGCATTTTGAAGGATTATGTCAATGGTGGTATTGAATTTCAACATGTAAACACCATTTCCATATGTGGAATTAGGGTTTGGTGGTGGTTTCATGATATCATAGTCTTTGGAAAAAGTATCTGGTGGAGATTTTGTGTCAAATGCATTATTTATGCCATATTTTATGGATCCTAAATAGGGTGTAGTTGGAAAGACTAAGGAAATGTTGTTGATAGCCCATCTGGTGTATCCTTCAATCCTGTTATAAACAGATATAATTAATAAATATAATCTCATATTTTTAATAATTTACTCTTGTAATTAGATGATGTAATCACATAACTAATCTACATAGTAACAGAACGAAAGAGGTCCTAAATTCATGTCTCATCATCATTTATCAACAAAAATATTTTCACATGTTTTGCCTAAGAAATAATTTATGTTTTATATACGGACAACACGTATATAAACTTTTCATATCATCACATTAAATCTTCATAGCAAGCTTGATATGGTAATATAAAATAGAGTAATAATTTACTATATTTTTTTTTTATAGATTTAAGTTATATATATACTGACAGTGAAAAGAATTCTTACATTATTAGTATATATTTATTTAACATGTTACCATATGTATCTTACTATTTTTTTCAATTTATCAGACATTAATTATAAAAGGTTACCTATAACTATTTTTTAACTTGATTGCATAAATTATTTTTACCTCATTGATACATAAAACTTTAATTCAAGAAATTTGTTTCATCTTTCTAATTTTTTAACGAGCATGTCCCACTGGATAGTGGATAGTAAAGATACTTTTTTTTCAATACTATATGCCTATATAATTTATGCGTCAAAAATACTTTATATTATATTCTTTTTAAATTCTATTTTCAGTTAAATATTGTCAAACAAAATATGAATGGAGGGAGTACCTGTTTTGAGTATTGAGGAGCAAAAAACGACGATTGTATTGAGTTGGAGGCTTAGGTGATCCAATCAAGCCAAAGATTTTCTTATAGAAGACTTTGCTGTAGTTATAATCATTCCAAAGAGGTGGCAATGGTGGTGGTGAAATTGGAATTTTTGAACCAAAATTTGGAATGTAATTCAATATAGTGAGGCCTTGAGATGTTTTAGGTTCTCTTGCTCTTACATTGACTGAAATCCAGTAATTGTTTGAAGGGTTTTGATCAGTTGTGAAGAGAATTGAATAGCTTTCACCTGAATAAATGTCCATATTTTCCATAAGAAATGGTTATATACTATACCATAAAGAATTCTTACACTATCGATCAGTAGATTTAACATGTTATAGTTGTATAACTTACTATTTTTAAGTTTGGTAAATAGTATTAATCATAAAAATGACATGCAACTGGCTTTTACGTGACGTAGTCGGTGACGGATATAGTGTAGTACTAGTTATCGGTTCAATTGAACTCATAACTTTTGACGCGGAGTAAAAGTTTATGTATAAAAATTCATTAAAATTAGAAAAATAATATATATGAACTCATAACTTTAAAAATATAATGAGTTCTATTCTAAAAACTTTATAACTTGAACCCATTAAGTTTAAATCATGGATCCGCCTCTGGACATAGTTATATAATTATATATTTTTTATTCCGTCACTACATAGAACTTAAACTCAATAATAATAATTTACTGAAATCCAGTAGTTGTTTGAAAGATTTTGATCAGTATTGAAGAGAATTGAGTAGCTTTCACCTGAATAAATATCCATATTTTCTACAGAAAATGGTTGAATGTAGTTTCCATCTGCTTCAACCACCACCATTTTGTGACCCTATATATGTAAAATCAAAACAAGTATCAGAATTATTTCTTAAGAGCTTTTGTAAAAGATAGTCAACTTCATTTTTTTGGGTCGAATTTAGAATTTATTTTATGGGTTTGAGTTCAGGTTCCATCTCAACTCATTTGATTTACTAGTTTTGAAATTAATTATTTATACTTATTTAATTTAGCAAGACTATGTTGTGTGAGCCATAAAATTACTGGTTTCGAATGATCATGTACCTTACATTTTATATTTGTCCTTAGATACAGATGGATTTTCATGGCAAAATAGTAACAGACGACCAATGTGCTCATATTTGTTGTTTACGTCGAATCAATAAACAAATTTTATGTATTTGCAACGTACTTTTATTACTTAACTATGGTTAATTATTGTACGTTCTCACTTCATTTTTATCACTTAGCCTATTATAAGTTAATAAGGTCTGGTGTAAATTAATCTCAAGCGCAGATAAATATAAAGATATATAATGAGATTATAAATCATAATTTTATAGTTTAAAATACTATCTTAACGATAAAAAGAATCATAATAGAAAAATATTGACTCCTTAAATAGAGTAGTAGTGTAATTTTCAGTTTTAGCCACTTTGAGAATTACTTTCTCCAACTTTATTTGGTGGGCACAAAGGTCTCCCATTTATGAACTAAACTTTCTTAAAGCTATGTTGTTTTCAACTTTGCACCACTGATGTTAACAAATTCTCTTTTCAAATGCTGTCCCATATCTTTAAAAAATTGAGACGATATAAAGAAGATTAGTACAGTTCTTGCGTAAGCACCAAATCAAGAAGTGGTCCAAATTATTTTAACTTTTTAAAAAGGTTTAAAAGTCATTTCTCTTTAACAAAAAATTAAAAATTCAACATTAAATTGTAATTTATCCAATTTTAACAAATAAGAATGAGTCAATTTTTATAATCTACAATGAATTCAATCTTTTACCTTGGAAATGTAGCCTCAATTTTCAAAACTCTCTCTCCTACGGTCTTACTCTATCTAAATCTCAACTTCAAAAGTTCCTAATGGAAAAAGAAAAAAAAATTGAAGTGTAGACCCACACATCATAATCGTCATAAACTTATTCAATTTATGAATCAATTTTGTCAATCGTAAAACAAATTCAACCTTTTTACCTTGGAAATAGAGGAGTAACCATCAACTCTAAATCCTATTTAATTTTAATATCTTTATCTGTGACGCTATCTGATTTTAACGTCAAAACTTTTAATAACAAAAATTAAAATACACAAACTGATTCAAACATTATCATGATTATGAAAAGAAAGTCAAGAATTGATTCATGAAACTACTTTAGAGTAGCAAAAGAATAATAACTTTGTAAAAAGTTGAAAGGAATAATTACTTTTGAAGTGAGAAAAAAATAAATAAGGCTATTTTGTTCCTTACCCCAATGGCCAAGTTGAGTGAAGACAATGCAGTGCTGCTAGCCACTCTAAGCCTATAAGTCTTGTTTGGATGCACGTGAATAATCTGGGGTGCGTACTGCTCATCTCCTCTTAACTTGCACTGAGGAACTGATGATTTGCTAAATTGCGCCGCTAGAGAACAATTGAATTGACCTCTTCCATTCATCAACAAACTCTGGTTTCACAACAAAGGGATATTTAGGGCCTGTTTGGCCGTCATTTTTTTTCATTTTTTTTTTTTACGGAATCAGTATTTGAACATAAAAATTTCAAATTTCACTTGAATTTGAATTTCGTAATATTTCGAAAATTTGAAAAACTCCAAAGAGTTATTTTTCAAAATTTTCACTTCAAATCACTTACAAAATTCTAAAACAACTCCAAATTGTTTTCATATACAAACACAACTCTAATTTTCAAATATCATTTTCACTTTAAAAAAAGTCACTTTTTCCGGAATTTCATAATTCTTATGTCCAAATGCCCACTAAGGACCCGTTTGGCCATAGATTTTGTCAAATTTTTGCCAAATATTTTTTGGCAAATACATGTTTGTTCATAAATTTTATCCATATTTTGGCAAATTCCCAAAACCCAAATCCCAAGCCCAAAATATTACTATTAAGTTTTTTTAAAAATTAGCTCAACTTTTGTATTTTATAAAAGAGCCCACTATTTATTATTTTGTAACACTGCTACTTCGTCTTCTCGGTCATCTGATAGTGTATTCTGTAGTTCATTATAAAAATAATAATTTTGTACTAAATTTATTTATGTTCAGGACTATGATTTGTGATAATGATAATGAATGTTATTGATGAAGATAATATTGGGTATTTGTGATAGTTTTTAGAACTTGTGGGTATAAGTCATGTTTCATGTTTTTTCAAAAAATAAAAGTGAAATATATTTTGAAAACTGATGTCCAACCACGTTTTCATCTTCAAACCAAACTTCACCCAAACCAGATTTTTCGAAACAAATTTGGGAATATATGGCCAAAGACTAGCTAAGTGCATGATTTCTTTCAATCTGTTGGTAAATAAAGTTATCCGATACGTATGCTGATAACAAGCAACCCGTAAAATTAATCGAAGTGTATACAAACCGACGCGGATATCACAATTATAAAAAAAAAAAATAAGGAAGTAATATGTGACCTGTGGTTCACCAATCCAACGAAAAGGCTTAGAAGAGAGGTCAATTTGTTGATCTTGGGAACTTTTGTGCCACCAATCACTAAGTAATAAATTGAATTCTCCATCATAGTGAAATGGTTCTTTTTCATCTTTTGCAACTTCCACTATGAGTGAACCATATAATCCTGCTGATCTTTGCATCCCATAATGTCCATGGTAGAAATATGTCCCTGCCTGTTTTTTTTAATACAACATTAACGTCTTAATTCCAAACAAGTTAAGGCCGATTATATTAATCTTCACTTCTTTATAAGTTCATTTCGTAAAGTAAAAAATAAGTTAAATAATATTTTGCCTCCCTTAATATCCATGGTAGGAATACGTCCCCGGCTATTATTTAAGTATCACACAAATATAATAAATCCAATTTCTTTTAATTTCATTTAATTTTTGAATTTTAAAATTGGCTATATAAATATCTTGTTCACGTAAAAGTGAATAATATTGTATATAGTGGTGACACTTGCTTTTTGGATGTATGGTCCTTGTGGGTCCTAAAAAATCTAACTATTATAAAATAATTCTACCTTTGCTCCATGTTACGTTTTGTTAAATTGTTATTGTTCAAAAATATTTAATGTTAAAAACAAGAAGTATATTTTTTTAGTGGGCGTGTTAATTAAGAAAGATGTTCAAGAGAGATAAAAAATAGTCTCGACGAATACTTTATAATTAAAATATAGAAAATTTTAAATATTTTTTTAAGGGGGGTTCAAAAAACGTAAAAAACTCATAGAAGATAATTCCATTTTTTTTTTTGGTCTTGTGTGGGAGAGAAATTACCTTGTCAACTATAAACGTGTAAACAAATGTCTCTCCAGGGTTAATGGGACATTGGGAGATTGATGCAGTTCCATCCGCCCATGGTGTTCCACGCTGTAGTAAGAAATTTATGAAAACCACAAATGAAAAAAAAAAGGTAAGAAATTAATACATATTAAAAAAGATTACGCAAATGTTAGTTAAAAGGGACCCCTTGCAACCCTTCGGGGTTGATCGGTTGGTTTCGAGGGTAGTCATCCATATGGATGACCTGCGATCGAATCCGTCGCCCAGGGCTTGACTAGTGCGGTTTACATTCCCTGTGTGGTTTGCATATTATTACACATGAGGAGGTTTAGCCAATGCACACCAAGTGTCGCGGCTGCGAGTTTCCCCACTTACCAAAAAAAATAAGGGGGACCCCTTATATGTTAAAAAAAGGTTATTGTAATTTTAGTTATTCAAGGGTTAATTGAATTTTGATCAAGCATATATAGAAGTGGTCTTTTTTTGTTCCTAACAATACCAACATCAGTCAATCAATCGTACCTTAATCTTAATTTAGCTAAATTATGTAATATAATTAATTCTCGTTATTCATTCCGCTTTAATTAATTCATTTCTTTGTTTGGTACGATGATTAAAAGGACGATATATAACAAATAGAAAGCTAGCTTCCACTCAGAATGAGATGTCGATATACTATAACAACAATATAAACAATAATCAAACCTTATTTCCAAGCAAGTTAAGGTAGGTTATATAAATTTTGCTCACGTCACTTCATAAAGTCCGTCTCAATTCAATATTATTTTTATATATAATCAAAATAAAAACAAAAATGCGTTTTAAGTTCTCTATATTTTCTATTTGCATGCATATAAATCTCTAATAAAACTCAAAAAGTCCTAAAAGAACACCTAATTAATATATATCACCTATACACTGTGGCAGAGGCAAAAGCCGAGCTATGGGTTCGATAGGCCGAACCAAGTAGTTTTTGTTCAAACAATGTATTTTGTGTTAAAAGAATTATTAGCAAAACGTGTATTTTTGTGTTAAGAAATTTATTGAATATATACAAAAATTAAATTTAGAATCCATTCATTAGCATTTGAAGCCTTTGTTTTAAAATTCAGAACCGACATAAAATTGAAATTCTAGCTCTGTCTCGTATTATGAAGATGCCAATATACTAGCATTAAAAATTCATTGTGTGTGTTTTATGTTTTTTGAGGGTAGAGGTGGATTCTAACCTGTGGAATTCCATGCCAGTGAATTACAACTCCTTCAGTAAGAAGCTTGTTAGTAAGCTCAACAGAAATAGTATCACCAGTTCTTGCCCTAATAGTTGGACCAGGAAACTTTCCATTAATAGCCATTACCACACCCTCTACACCGTCTGGAGACCAATGCATGTACTCCACTCTCCATTTAAATTGCCTTGTTTTGGCCATGGCTGAAATTGTTGACAACTCCAACAACAACAACAAAATGCCTAATAAAGACATCTTTTTTAATTCTTGATATATGTGAAAATATGGGAGTAAAATAAAAAAGAAAAGTTGATCACAGAGAGATAAGGAAAAGTTCCAAGCTCACACTAGTTGGAGCTTTGTACTTCATTTATGGAACTTTCATAATGCTGGATTGTGTGTGTATATATATATGTTGGCAAAGATACACAATCTAAGTTTAAGGGAGGGGGGGATAATCCATGTAAAATATTCTGTCCCACATATTAATTGTACAATTTTGGCTAACTGAATTCTTTTCAAATTATCTTACGTCTTATCAGAAACAAGTAGTCATTTTGTTTTTATTTTAGATCTACTTGGTTAATTAACTACTATTATGATTAATGTTGTTAGAAGATGTCTTAATTAAGGAGTGTGCTAAAATCTTGATATATAGTAACATATATGGACTATACGGAGTAAGAATTCATGTTCTTTTTTATATATCAAGGAAAAAAGTTAATCTCCCTAGGGCAGCCCGGTGCACTAAATACCCGCTATACGCGGGGTCCGGGGAAGGGCCGGACTACAAGGGTCTATTGTACGCAATCTTAGCATGCATTTATGCAAGAGGCTGTTTCCACGGCTTGAACTCGTGACTTCCTAGTCACATGGCAGCAATTTTACCAGTTACGTCAAGACTCAGCTTCTATAGGTAAAAATGATATGTCGCTCGTTATCAAAATTCACAAATTAAAGAATGTTTTTTAAAGTTAAAAAGAATTTTTCATTAATTAGTACGTCCATTACTCTTGGATTTATAATATCATTTTTATTTAAAATTTTCTTATAACTTTGGAATCAGGTTCTATTATTTGTGCATCTGTAGATGTAACAACAGGGGCATATATTCCTATATTTTATTCATTCGTGCTGTGTCTGAGGATAGCTCTTCAGTATAAACAAGAAGAATAAATACGTTAAAGAAAAGTTATAAATAGAATTTATGCTAATTCTTTGTTATAAAGAACGAAGAATTCAGAACTTTCTGTCTCACAAGAGAAACAATCACGAAATTATAGCTAAAGATAATATCTTCAAGATAAAGCAACTTATGGTTAAAAACACCACAGGCCAAAGTTGTTCAAAGGCCACAACTCTGTAATCACTAGCTATTCTTTGTAAAGATTAACCACATTAAATATCATGGAATAGGGGGGAAAATGTTTATAATTGACAATGGAAATATTGGTTTGAGTAATAACATATGAAGCCAGTCTAATCAATTGTCACTAACAAGATTCTAGTACAACAAAAAGTTCTTCCTTAACCAACAATTTCTGCAGTTGGAAGGTCATAATCCTACTCTGTCTGTCTTTTTAGCCTCATTCTACTTTCTTGCTCTCTTCCGCGGAGACTTCTTCAGTGCTCTGTGATTTTGACTCGTCGAACTCCAACAACTGTTCAACCGAAAATCAAGAATACAAATTCAACCTTGAATAAGATATATATAATGCTTGGAGAATTATAATATTGGACTAAGACAAGATCAATTGAAGAGACGTAACCAGTAACAATTCATATAGCCAGCCTCAACTTGCATGAGATTGAGGTGTAATAGTTATTGGAGATTTAGACGAGACCCCATCTATAGTTGCTCTCATAACCAAAATCATGTTTAACTCTATGAAAAAACTAAGGAAAGTTTTAGAGAAGCTAGGGTAGTTTTAAGTTCTCCTCTCGAGTTTGTTTTTGTATAGTGTAATTTCATTTACTTATTCATAGGGTCATAGAGGCTCCATAGATGAAACTTGTATTATTTTGGATTATGGGTACTCTTCTGACATTCGAATGACTATTATATTTCATGACTTTAATTATGTTTTGCCGCACTTTAAATCAAAAGGATAACTATCTCGTCTTGTTCATTTAATATATAATTAATTAAATGAATTGAGTTATATGGGTACGAGTTGGGTATGTAATACATCATAATGGTTCACTCGATCCAAGTTGGAAGGCACTGGATGCCGGCCACGTCGCAATCCATTTCGGGGGGTGACAAACTTGTAGAAGATAAAACAACATTAGAGATTATTCTTCCCTTAATTAAAGACACATAAATAAGAGGAGACTACGGTCTAACCTAGCGAATGAAGTGGGATAAAAATCATGGAAGACCAACATTCAAATCCCAATAGAAGCAAAAAATGCTAGGCAGTTTTTTCTCATCTGCCTAATTCTTGGTGGACAGAGCTACCTAGTACAAGTACTAATGGGATGTAGCCGGTGGCGGAGCCACATTGAACCAAGGGGTGTCAAGTGACACCCCTTCGCCGGAAAATTATACTATATTGCTAGATAAATTTTTTATTTTATGTATATTTACTATATGTTGACTCCCTTAACTTTTCGATGTATCTAATTATTTATATTTTGACACCCCTTGATGAAAATTCTGGCTCCGCCACTGGATGTAGCAAGTACCCGACGGGATAGCCGAGATACACAAGTTGGTCCTGATACTACGGCTATCAAAAGAAAAGAAAAATGAGAAAAGTGCACCGATTAAGATAATCCCTACTACTTTCCACTCAAACCAAACTGAGGAGGAAGATTTTCCTTGATTGTTTTTGCATTTTCATCTTTACTGTCCCATTTTTCCTCTTTTTCCCTAGTTACAAAACAAACAATGAAAAATGTTTCTCTTATCTACTCCTAAACGATGTTACTGAGAGAAATTGGTAGACAAAAAATGCTTGGCACAAAATGACCCGATTATTTTTTTGGCCGAAACACCAAGAATTGAATTCTATAGTATCCATAATCCCATATGAGACAATTTGGAGTAAACAGTAAACAAATATTCAAGGCCCATAAACAGTAAAGATAGAAGAAAATGGAGTGAGGAAATATTGATTATCAAAAGAAAAGCTTACCGGCTTCACATCCCCATTCCAAACGCAATGCACAGCCAAAAATCCTATTACAGCTGGAACAATATATAACAATGCAGGCTGGAAAATAAAGGAGTAAACGAAGTGCTAAGTTAGATAACTAGAAGCTTGAAAAATAAGGGCACAATAGTCCTGCTTCATGAATAAAACATAAAAAAAACTTATCTGAGACACCAACCTGTGCCGCTTGAAACCAGTTCATAACAATAATTGTTGAAACCACACCAACTGCGTATCCCAAAAATGCACTTTTGAAGTATTGAGGCTCTTTCCCCCTGGAGACGTCAAAGCGGAGTGCCAATGCCACAAAAATGCCTGAAGTACAGAAGAAGTGATCAAAATATTGCTAACTCTACTTATTTAATCAAAGAAACAAATTGCATAATGAGAGGATAATTACTAGTTCATGCCAAAAACTAATAACGGAAGGTAAGAAACAGAGAAGTTCAGAGGCGGGTAAAATCCAAAGCAAATTCATGAAATCACTTATATAGCCAGGTCATGAAAAAACAACTTAAACGGGTGTCATACCGGGAATTACAATATCTCCAAGACCAAGCATTGAAAAGGGACGTTTCAAATCTGCTGTTGGGAACAAAAGCTGCAAAAGAAAAAAAACATTCATTACCATACTGTAAGAACGAAAATCCTGCAATGACAAATTGGAAGAAAAGCTAAATTAAAAAAATCCACTATACACACCTTGATAGGAGCATCAAAAGATTTAGCAACGCTAACCATCACTGGGGTAAAAAAGACCCAGAAGATGTCGTACACAAAAAGTCCAGCCTGCAGTTTAAGAACATAGAACGCATTCAGCACAAAGATGGTAAGGTAAAGCATAAAGAAACTGCAAAACCAATGTCATATAAACCCCAGGGAACTCTACTATCTGCTTGACCGCTAAAGGTTACACATTTGCAAAAAGGATGTGTCTATGTAATGCATGCCATAAGAGATGGCTCGTTAAAGGGTCCCACTTCAACTATTTGGTCATGCAGGTTTGGCCCAATAAAAACAAACTTAACGACATCTCTGAACTATGCACAAATCATAAATTACACATAAAAGTAAAACCTCTTTCTACTTACCAATAGTATGGCGCCGGTCTTAAATGACCCAAGAGAAAGCATTTCAATCCCCTGCAAGTTAACAGAAATAAGCATTCAATTCAGTGTCCAACCATCAGAAGGAAAACGAAGCTGTGAGAAGGTTGTTTCGTGATTTCAAAGCAACAGATAGAGAAAGTTTGCTATTTGTGCAGACAAACCTGAATACAAAATGCAAGTCCCAATACATTGTTAGCTAGCCAATGCTTCTGTTTAGCATACCATACACAGAAGATAGTTCCAGGGATTGCAGCAACAATCTGGGACCTTGTGAACTCGACCTCCAAAGCTGAGAAAAAAACAAATAAAACACCATATCAAGAAAGAAGAAGGCAGAAAACCAACAAGTTCCACTCAATGGATTGAGGAAAATCTTTATCCAAAAAGAAACAACTATAAAATGCTCGATCATTTTCAAGAATACAATCCTAGATCCCTTAAAAGTTTGAAGATCGAATGCGCCCATGCTTCAAGTTGAAAATGGAGTAGATTGGAAAACTGGATTTCTTCTTGGAAATTTAGAAATATCTCAAGTATGTAGGATAAGAAAACCCCAATAAACTAGTCGATCTGTTCAAACACATAAGTACATGACTTAAGGATCCATACATGCTCATCAAAACCATATCAGGAGATAAAGGTAAAGAGTTCTTAAGGAAAAGTTTCAGAAAAGGTACGGCAATCACCATCTAAAACAGCCAAACAATACATACTCTGCGGACTCTACTGAGAAAAAATAAGAGAATACCACAAAAGAACAAAATTTTCAACGCCCGAGATTTATTTTTAAAAAAAGAGTCCAACTATTGTTGTTTAGAATAGCCAAGAACATGTCCACATAAAAGAAATACAGTAAGTACCATTTTATGAGCTACTCCACTTTGGAAGGGGTGAAAAAAGAGTACCATACTTGAGAAAGGAAAAAGAAGTTCAGTCAACAAGTGGCATTTTCAAAACAGACATGAAGGTGTACCACATGGGATGTGGGAATGCCTTTAAATGATATTTTTAAATGGATGGGGGGGAAAAAGAAAAGCCACAGTGAGCAAAACACAATTCAGAATCTTTTGGAGAAAAAAGAGTCAGTCACCAACTAGCATAAAACAAGACAAAAAAAGGTGGTCCATACAGTTGAAATATGGGATTGGGAAGCGCCATATTATGAGATCTTCATTCCACTTTTTTGGCAAGAATCGTTTGATAGCAGGTAACAGTGTTGCACTGCAAAGCCCCAAAGAAAGGGAAGATATAAGAATACATAATGAAACTAGTACTTAGAAAATTGAAAAAGAATATATAAAGCATAGTAGAATGAACCCATACGGGAAGAACATACGAAAGAGCAGCAATGCCAAGCACAAAAAAGTAGCACGTCAATACAGCATTAACCAGGTCTTTTGAGAGGAACTTAAAGAGCAAGAACAACGACAAGAGCATTGCGCTTCCAACCAAGGGGAATCTCATTGCATGTTCGTTAGACATTGTCTCCTACAAAGTAGAATAAACAAGTTTAGGAAACATCAAAACAGATGAACAAATGAAAGGGAGGATGCAACTTGGAGTCCTGAAAATATACCGAAGGTGGAGTTGGCTTAACAGAACGGTAGCAACCCACAAAAACAGTGAGGCAAGCTGTTAATACGACACTTAAATTTGGGTCCACATTCACGACCAGTGGTGCCAAACTCAAACCTGAAATTCACAACCAAAAACCAAGAGTTCTCAAGGTAATTCAAGCAACACGAATTTAGCAGCAGGAAGGGGGCTAAACACCAGCATATCAATCAAGAAATCAATCAACTACGCCTCAGTCCCAAACTAGTTAGGGTTAGTGAGGGCCAAATACCACTAAACCTAGTAAAGTCTACAAAAATGATGCCTGTGGGCCCAATGCCGCACCATTTGATCAAACAGCACGTTGAAGTCAGCAAGCTTAAGAGTTACAGTAATGTGAAGCGAGTGAGAATTTCAAGAGTTTTGATCCCTTATAATGAGCAACAAAATTTTATGGCAGTTTTAGAGTAGGGTATTAGGTCTTATGTTTGACAAGCAGAACTAATCTGTTTTACAACACATGAAGTGAGGAAAAAAACAGTAGTAATAACTAATACCATCTATTAATAATAAATGGATGAAAACATATAATAAGATCATACATACACAATTGTAGTGTCTATTTTCTCCGGAAATCTAAACAATGCACATCCAAACACTCATAAATCCACTGTTCATAGTTACGGAGAAACTTAAGAATCACGAGTTCCAAACAGTCATCAAAACGAATTCTACAGACACTGTGGCTCGTCTCATATCTTGAACATGGATTACTTTACTTTCATGTTTTGACAAGCACAAATCAAAGTCAATGTGCGTTGTAATTCAGCAAACAAAAAGAAACAAGATTGAACCAAATCGAACAATGAAACCAAACCTGCTAAAGCAAGATTTGCTAGTCGCTCGCTACTCTTCATCCTCACAGAAGCACAGTCCTTTTTTTGCCCCAAGGTAATAAGCTACAACAAACCAAGAATAAAATAAGTATTAGTAACAATAATCAATATTTACATCTTTATAAGACAATAACTATTAATTGTAAGAGAAAAAGGTGCAATCTTTACCAATATTTCTCACCAAATTTTAGAGAAGTGTAATGTTATCAAGATTTGACCAGTAAAAAAAACTCTGAACATTTCTATAAAAAAAAAACAATTCTGGGAAAGGATAAAATTTACCTCTGAATATGGAAACTCAATTAACTGAAAATATCAACAAAAACCCAAATTCTCAACAAAAACCCAATACACTAAAATGCTTTGAAAAAAAAAAAAACAAGGAAACCCCATTCAATTGAAAATTTCAAATGTCAATTTTTTCACTGAAAACCCAATTAGCTTAAAAGCATGAACTTTCCTCTGAAATACATGATACTATATATTTTAAAAAATCAAATTCTATATCAATCATCTCAAATAAAAAAAAAATCCCAATCCTCTAAACTGCATAAATTTGCTCAGAAAAAAAGAAAGAAAAGAAAACCCAGTTTTAAAAAATTCAAAATCAAAATTTTTCAGCAAAAATATATTACCCTATTAGCTTAAATACAAGAATTTTCCCCAGAAATACATGAAAACCCAATTATCAAAATTCAAAATCTACATCAATCCTTTCAACAAAAATGAAAAAAAAAATTGAAAATTTAAAAAATCAAAAATTTCAACATAAACCCAATAACCTTAAATACATGAATTTTCTTCTGAAATACATGAAAATCCAATTATATAAAATCAAATTCTGATTAACAAAAGAAAACAATTAAAACTTCCATATTTATTCTTTTTTACCTCACAAGAAGAAAGAACTGATCTTGTCTCTTTATCCTTCTACTGATCTCCAATTACGCAGATCAGGAGAGGCTTTTCAATAAGATAGATATTTGAAATGTTTTAATTTTGACTTTTTGGCTCTACCTTTTTAAAGTCAAAATAGGGTTTTAGATTTTGGGTTAAATGAATTATTAACAGTTTTATTTGGGATTTTGAAGGATTTCAATTGGGGGAGGTACGTAGGGACTTGTTGTCTCAACCAATAAGAGACTTCCACGTCAATTTCTCACTATAAATGCCATTTATTAAAGTGATATTCATGTAACCATTATTAAATTAAGATAAACAAAAATAATCAATTTAGTACCAGTCTTATTCTTGTTTGTTTATTAACTTTGGGATAGGTTATCCCACCATTAAAAATAGTATCATAATGTATACTTGTTAGAGGGTTGAAAAGTAATGACACGATAAATTATTCAGGATAAAGTAATAAAATTGACAATCGCATAATTAATATCATATAAAATAGTTAATAAGAAATAGGCCAAATATATCGACAGCCTCTTAAAATTATTCACGCTTTTCAGTTAAAAACTCGATCTTAAGTTTGTTTCATTTAAACACTTTAAACGAGCCTTTACTGTGTCATTTAGACACAAAAAAACTGACATGGCAAGGCAAGTGTTTCTCGCATTTTTAAAGCGAGTGAAATTGTCCGAAAAACAAACTCCTAACCTTTTTTTCTCATTATTTTTCTTTTGTCTATTCTTTTCGTCTCTTCTAGAGAAACCAACGAATTTTTTAGGCAACTGATTTCTTAATTTTTTTTAATCACTTTTCAGTCTCTCTCACTCACGAATCACTCTCAAAACAATGCAATGCAAAATAAGCTCAAATTTGTAAAGGGAAGAAATGGGAAAATGCCAAACCCAAGTATTCCACCATCTCCACCTATTGGCCGAATCTATTGCTAAAAACCCAAAATATTTTCATGTTCCAAATTAGTCGAATCTATGGTTAAAACAAAGTGGCTCAAAACTTAATAGAAAAATGACTTGAAATGGCAGAAATAATTTTTTGGGTATTGACCAGAAAATATTTAAAGAAAATGAGTTTGGATCTGAAAATGTTTGGGAAGAAACGAGCTGGAAAAATAATTATTTTCAATTTTTGTGTCTTGATTGTTGTACAAGACTAGTATCTATATAGAAAGAAAATCCCTGACGTGTACTAGACTAAATCTTATCTATCCTAACTAACTTTATAAGAGACTGTAAATAAAATGAACAAACAGAATATTTACAATGTACCAAATCAAAAATACCCATACTAGAATCTTCCTACAAAGAGTTAAATTCCTTTAGCTCGCTTCATCTCCACCATAGATCTAGGACACGTCCATATCATCTGCCCAATTAATTTAGAATACGTGTCTCATCATAACAAAGCCTAAGAAGCTCTCCTTTAGTATCCAGACAAATCACTTTGGTCAAAATTGAGTATACTTAGTCTTATGTTATACCTCCATCGATTACATCGACCACCGCTACATTCTTTGACCCATTAGAGGACTCTTTTCCAGCAACACCCTGTCACGACCCAAAATCTCATCTGTCGTGATGGCGTCTATCTCAATACTGGGCAAGCCGATAATCTCAATAAACTACCATATCTTTTAAGTTTGAAAATATAATAATTAAATTCAGCGGAAGAAATCTCACAAATACAAATATAAATATTTTTAAAGCCCGGTATCACTGAGTACATGAGCATCTAAATGAATACAAAGTCTGACTGATAAAAATCATTGTTTGAAATATAGAACAGTACAATAACTAAACAGGAAGGGAGTCAAGTTTGCGGACGTCAAGCAGCTACCTTGATAGTATCCAACAGAAGTAACTCCGAAATCTAGCAGCCGTAGTATCCGGAAGCACTTGGATCTGCACACAAGGTGCATAGTGTAGTATGAGTACAATCAACTCAATAAATAACAAGACTAACCTCTGGGATGGAAGTAGTGACGAGCTCCGGAAGTACAGTCCAGTATAAATAAGGGTACAGAAATGTAGGCATGCTTTCAAGTTCAACAGTTAAACTCAATACAAGTGAAATGGATCAACACTGCATGATATGAGGAATATGACATCTCAGTAGAAATGCCTCATGTAAATACTGATCATCTCCAAATTCCTTATAGATTGCGAGATATGAGCCTCTAAAGTCAGACGACAAATAACAAAAATACCTTCTTCGCTAACGCGAAGAACAAAATCCCAACAGCAAAATCCTTCTTCGCGAACACGAGAGGCTCCTCGCAAACGCGAAGAACAATACCAGAACCAGCAACCAGCATCCTCAAAACACCCAAACTTGGTCCTGAACCACCCCGAATCAAACCCGAGGCCCCCGGGACCCCGTCCAATAGTACCAACCAGTCCCAATACATAACATGAACCTTCTCGGGGCCTCAAATCACATCAAACAACACTAAAAACACGAATCACACACAGATTCAAGCCTAATGAACTTTAAAACTTCCAATTTCTACAAACGACGTCGGAACCTATCAAATCACATCCGATTGACCTCAAATTTTGAACACAAGTCATAAATGACATAACAGACCTATTCAAATTTCCAGAATCAGTTTTTGATCCCGATATCAAAAAGTCAACCCCTGAGTCAAACTTCCCAAAAATTCGACTTTCACCATTTCAAGCCTAATTCCTCTACGGACCTCCAAATAATTTTTCGGACGCGCTCCTAAGTCCAAAATCACCATACAAAGCTATTGGAACCATCAGAATTCAAATTCGAGGTCGTTTACACATAAGTAAGCATCCGATTAACTTTTTCAACTTAAGTTTTCAATTATGAGATAAAGTGTCTCATTTTACCCCGAAATCCTTCCGGACATGAATCAACTAACCTGGTAAGTCATAAAATAATTGTAAAGCATAAATTAAGCAGTAAATAGGAAAACCGGGTTATAATACTCAAAATGACCGACCGGGTCCTCGAACGGGTTTAGAATCATACTTGGAGTCTCAAATAGGTGTGGATATTTGCTCTACATCTCCCGCTCAATCTCCCAAGTAGCTTCTCCGACTGGATGTCCTCTCCACTGTACCTTCACTGATGTTATGTTCTTTGACCTCAGCTTTCGAACCTGCTGGTCTAAAATAGCCACCGGCTCCACATCATAAATCAAATTACCGTCCAGCTGCACTGTACTGAAATCCAAAATGTGAGACGGATCCCCGACATACTTTCAGAGCATAGATACATGGAATACTGGATGAACACCGGATAGACTAGGTCGCAAGGCAAGTTCATAAGCCACATCTCCAATTTTTTTAAGTATCTTAAAAGGCCCAATATACTGAGGGCTCAACTTGCACTTCTTCCCGAACATCAACACACCCTTCATAGGTGAAATCTTGAGCAGAACTTTCTCCCCAACCATGTAAGTAACATCACGAACTTCCGGTCGGTATAACTCTTATGTCTAGACTACGCCATGTGAAGCCGCTCCTGATTCAATTTAACCTTCTCCAAAGCATCCTGAACCAAATCAGTACCCAATAGTCTAGCCTCACCCGGCTCAAACCAACCCACCGGAGACCGATACCGCCTCCCATATAAAGCCTCATACAGAGCCATCTGAATGCTCGATTGGTAGCTATTATTGTAAGCAAACTCCGCGAGTAAGAGAAATTGATCCCAGGAACCCCCAAAATCAATGACACAAGCGCATAACATGTCCTCCAGGATCTAAATAGTGCGCTCGGGCTGTCCGTTCGTCTGAGGGTGAAATGTTGTACTCAACTGAACTTGTGTGCCCAATTCTCGCTGTACTGCTCTCCAAAACTGTGATGTAAATTGCGTGCCCCGATATGAAAATGATGGACATTGCACATCGTATAGGTGAACAATCTCGCTGATATAAATTTCAGCCAACCGCTCCGAAGAATAATTAGTACTATCTAAAATAAAATACGCGAATTTGGTCAACCGATCCATAATCACCCAAACAACATCAAACTTCCTCAAAGTCCGTGGAAGCCCAACTACGAAATCCATCATAATACGCTCCCATTTCCACTCTGGAATTTCAAGTCTGTGAAGCAATCCGCCCGGTCTATGATGTTCATACTTCACCTGTTGACAATTTAAACACCGAGCTACAAACCCAACTATATCTTTCTTCATTCACCTCCACCAATAGTGCTGCCTCAAATCCTGATACATCTTCACGACACCTGGACGAATGGAGTACCGCAAATTGTGAGCTTCCTGGAGAATCAACTCACGCAAACCATCTACATTTGGCACACATAGCATGCCATGCATCCGTAATACACTGTCATCTCCAATGGTAACTTCTTTGGCATCACCGTGCTGAACCGTGTCCTTTAGGACAAGTAGGTGAGGGTCATCATACTGACGTTCTCTAATATGATCATAAAGAGAAGACTGAGAAACCACACAAGCACTCGACTCGAATTGGAAACATCCAATCTGACAAACTGGTTGTCTAAGGCCTAAACATCTAAGGCTAAAGGCCTCT